CCTGAGCGATCTAAGTGGGCTCTGCTAACCTCATTTTGCCGTACGTGGCTTAGGCTGGTTTCTTGACCACTTGTGGTCATGCAATCTAAAAAGTGGTTACTTCAGAGGAGAATGTCGGTAGCTCAGGTAGTGTAGATGGTCATTGGCTTGTTTGCTGAGCTGGGCAATTTGGTTGCAAACGTTTCATCACCAATCGAGGTGACATCATCAGTGCGTAGTTGTGTGTAGCGGTAAGTTAGTGGTTGTGCACAGCAGTGGAAGTTATATCCTTTTGGCCAGTCGTACTTCATGGGGCAGGCTGGTCTGTACAGGAGGTTTCAAGCTGGGTGTCCAAGTATGTGGAATACCTTCGAGTAGTCACCAGAAGACGAAGTAATTCGCCTAAGCGAACCGCAGTGCCGAAGATGATAACGCCACGTACGCTTGCAAGGGACTTACGCAGGCCAATGGGTTCGATGGATCAGTTGTATAGTCTTGGCAGAATGGCTTCACCGGGTTAGACGAGGACGACCGTGTGAAACAGCCGTCACTTGATGGGCCCAAGGGTTGTAAAATTGGTGGAGGCTATGAAGTAATGTATATCATAGTTTCGTAACATCTGACGAATGGAAAGCCAGAAGACTCATAGTTACGGATGTAATATTTGCGTGTGTGTGCTTTGTCGATGCAGACCGTGCCTGGGCAGTCATTTGCTTGTCACAGACAAAGGCTTGTCATTATGTGATGCCACCAGAAAATTTTTTGGTACCGTCAAGGTCAATATTTGCATCTTGAACCGTCACACACATAGCGGCGGTGTCTCTGGAGAAGGCAGCGTCCGAGACTGTGACAAGAACGCACAAACAGCTTTCTAAAGACCTCCCACATCGAAGATACATTATCATTTAGACGTTTTTCTGTCTGAGGGCGATCTGGAGTAGGAAATGTCTCGGGCTATTCAAAGCCGGAACATATTTGTCCAAAATTTCTAAAGTGTGGTCGAATTACTCGCCCGTGTCCGTAGATGCCTCACCGTGATGGCTTGCCCAATGTCCACGATACATCTGCTATTTCCTAGTCGAAAGCGTTATGTGCCGCACAAGTTGGTTCAAATCTCCTGAATCCATGCCAATCCTCCATGTAACGGTCGAACGGTATCTTCGAGTGACGCGTAATACCAGAACCTCCAGTTAGGCAAAACAAAGTCGGAGCTGGATTCCCTTAAGGTACTATAATGGTAAGAGAAATTCACAATATACATAAACCCCGACAGTAGACACGCGTCCAAAACAAACAGTCCGCTTGGACTACAAAATTACAAAGCAAAGGAGCAAACAGGCTTCCACGTGCAACATTCACACGTGCAAAGTCAGATACAAATGGCCGGATGATCTCAAGGCCAAATGGATGAAGTGGTAAGGACGAACAAACGCCAGTCCAT